CTCCAAGGCGTGGATCACCCAGGCAGCCGTGTCCACGTGCGGACAGCTGGCCACGTCGCGCTGGCGCAGCGGCCCCAGGGGCGGCAGGGCGGCGGAAGCCAGGAAGACGATGCCGAGGAGGCCGGAGGAGGATGATGCCGAGGAGGCCAGAGGAGAAGGAGGAGGAGGCCAGAGGAGGAGGAAGAGGAGGGAGCGGGAGGAGGAGGGGGAGGAGGCGGGAGGAGGAGGGAGGAGGAGGAGGAGGAGGATGAGGAGGAGGAGGAGGAGGAGGAGGAGGAGGAGGGGAGGAGGAGGAGGAGGAGGGGGGAGGAGGGAGGAGGAGGAGGAGGAGGAGGAGGAGGGAGCGGGAGGAGGAGGGGGAGGAGGCGGGAGGAGGAGGGGAGGAGGAGGAGGAGGAGGAGGAGAAGGAGGAGGAGGAGGAGGCCAGAGGAGGAGGAGGAGGGAGCGGGAAGAGGAGGGGGAGGAGGGGAGGGGAGGAGGAGGAGGAGGAGGAGGAGGAGGAGGAGGCCAGAGGAGGAGGAGAGGAGGGAGCGGAGGAGGAGGAGGGGAGGAGGCGGGAGGAGGAGGAGGAGGAGGAGGAGGAGGAGGAGGAGGAGGAGGAGGAGGAGGGGGGAGGCGGGAGGAGGAGGAGGAGGAGGAGGAGGAGGAGGAGGAGGAGGAGGATGGCGGAGAGGCGGAGAGGCGGAGCGGGAAGGTGGAGGAGGGAGGAAGCACAGAGGGGGAGGAGGGAGAAAGGAGGAAGGTGAAGGAACAGGGCGAGGGAGGGAGGACCGGGCGGACGAAGAAGGGAGGAGAAGGAGGAGGAGGAGGAGGAGGAGGAGAAGGAGAAGAAGGAGAAGAAGGAGTGGGATCCCGGGATCCCGGGATCCTCCCCTTGCCGCTCCTCTACGTCCTCCTCCTCCTCCTCCTCATCATCATCACCCTGTCTCCACTTGTTTCTCATTCTCCACCTCTTCCTCCTCCTCCTCCTTCCTCCTCCGTTGTCCGTTTGCTCTTGCCCTGCCTCTCCCCTCGCTCTCGGCGCGCTCGGATGTATCCGCGTGATCCTGCCTCCTCCGCCCCAAGGGGGAAGGGCTTCGAGCGCTGTGGGTGGCTCTCGGGGAGTGGTCGGTGGCCTCCAGCAAGCGCTCGGAGGTTTTGCAAGGGGAACGCTAGCAACGAAGCGGCGGCGGCGGCGAAGTGGCACTGGGTGAAGCCGGCCCGACCTGGGAGGAGGAGGGCGAGGAGGAGGAGGAGAAGAATGAGGAGGAGGAAGAGGAGGAGAAGGAGGACGGGGCGAAGGGAAGGATGAGCAAGAGCAGCATGGGAAGCAGGAGGGAGTTGGAGCAGCAGGGGAAGGACCGGAGAAGCAGCAGCAGGGTTGGCGGACGCAAGCAGGGAGGAGGAGAAGACAAGTACGTAGGGAGAGGAGGAAGGCGGATGTGGAGAAGGAATTACGGGAAGGAGAAGGAGGTGGTGGAATAGCACTCTTGCCGCGCAGTCCCTCTACGCTGGGCGCAGCTCTCCAGCGAGTCGAATATAAACGAAGGCCTGGCATCCGAGAGGCAAGCCAAGCTCCAGAAGGAGAGAGAGAGAGAGAGGGAGAGAGATGTACATAGCACCCCCCAGCTGCGGATGAGAAAGAGGGGGAGGGCGGGGGGTGGTTCGCGGGCGGGTCGCGGGTGGGTAGCGGGTGGGTGGCGGTTGGGTCGCGGGTGGGTCGCGTGTGGGTCGCCTGTGGGTCGCGGGTGGGTCGAGGGTGGGTCGAGGGGTGGGTCGCAGGTGGGTCGCGGGTGGGTCGCAGGTGGGTCGCGGGGGGGTCACAAGGTGGATCACGGGTGGGTCGCGGGTGGGTCGCGGGTGGGTCGCAGGTGGGTCGCGGGTGGGTCACAAGGTGGATCACGGGTGGGTCGCGGGTGGGTCGCGGGTGGGTCGCGGCGTGGGTCGCAAGTGGGTCACGGGTGGGTCGCGAAGTGGGTTGCGGGTGGGTCGCGGGTGCGTCGCGGGCCGAGTCGCGTGTGGGACGGCGACAACAAGCAACAACAACGCATCGATACCAACACCAAACACATAAACAACGAGAACCACAACAACCACAACAACAACACCAACAACACCAACACAAACAACACCGACAACAACAACGACGACGACGACAACAACACCACCACCACCAACATCAACAACAACAACACCACCAACACCAACACCAACACCACCACCACCACCACCACCACCAGCAACAACAACAACAACAACAACAACAACAACAACAACAACAACAACAACAACAACAACAACAACAACGACAACGACAACGACAACAACAACAACAACAACAACAACACCAACACCAACGCTAGCAACACCAACAACGACAACAACATACAAACAAACAAACACACATAACCAAAAACAACGACAGCAGCAGCAACGGCATCAACACCAACATCAACAGTACCATCAACACCAGCAGCAACAACAGCAGCAACAACCACAAACTCAGTAGCAACAGCATACTCAGCAACAACTGCAGCAGCAACCGCATCCGAAGCAACAACAATGACAGTAATTGCAACAACAACAGCAACAGCACCAACAAAACCAACAACACGAACACCAACAATACCATCATTGACAGCAACAACAGCAACAACAACAGCAGTAGCAGCAGCAGCAAAAACAAATGCAGAAGCAACAGCAGCAGCAGCTGCAGCAACAACACCACCACCATCAACCACCACAACAACAGCAACAACAACACCAACAACAACAACAACAACAACAACTACTACTGTGACGACGACGACGACGACGACTACTACTACTACTACGACGACGACTACTTCTACTACCACTACAGCAACCACAACAGCAGAAACTGCAGCAGCAACAGCAACAGCAGCAGCAGCAACAACAACAAAGACGCCGACGACCACAACGACGGCAACAACAACAACAACAACAACAACAACAACAACAACAATCATTTAAGACTGGGGACACTCCGTTCTCACCAGTGCCAGGGTTTTCATAGGAGGCGGGCAATACCCCCACTTTGTGGGGGGGCCGGTTCAAGCTCTACCAAATTTCCAAACGACTCTTCGCCACCACCCACACCCAGCTTCCCGCCCTATGACGTTCGGACACTTCACTTCGTGGCATGCGGACGACCGTGGCTACTATTCAGGGCCCCGCGGCCGACGACGACGGCGTGCGCGCGCGAAGAAAAAACGAATGTGTCCAATATGGTATTATTTGACAGGGATGATGGCCCTGACATGCGCGCGACCGTTGTTGCAGAAGTTCGAAGCACGTGAAAAAGTTGCTCGCAAGAGCCCGTTTGACAGAAATGTTGAAAAAATAGTGGGTTTCCTCAGAAATCCGCAAGAGCGCGCAAGATGAATTTTTGAAACTTTTTTTTGAAAAACCATTGGATTTTTCATGTTTTTATGTTAAAATCGCTACGAAAACTAAGGTTTTGGAAGGATTTCATCTTGCGCGCGCGAGTGTGCACTTCGTGTCATTTTTTGCAAAAAGGATTCTTGAAGTTTGGTTATGTTAGAACAAGAAATTTCATTTTATAGTGTTTTTTGCAAGGGAAAGCGGGCGTCAACAAAACAACCGGATCTGGATGACATCGTTTTACCTGAGACTTCCTCATGAAAATGATGAAAATGTGGCTGCGGCCTAGGCGCGGGGGGGGGGGCGTGCACCAGGGGGCCCAACAATAATTATTCTTTAGAATTAATAATGTTCAACAACAAGACTGCTCGCTCTTACCCGCTCGCATGCCTTGCGACACGTAAACCTCAAACCGTCGGTACCCGCCGTCTTCGTCTTCGATCATACCACCCTGGGGGTATATCTTCCTTACCTGCCGCGCGTAATTGGTGCAGCCCCTGAAACAAGGGAAAAACAAGACGATGTAAAGGGGAGGGAGAAGGATGGAGCACGGGATTAGCAGGAGGGGGGCTAGGAGCAGAAAGCAAGTGGCAGAACCAGACGGGCCCATCGGGCGCACGTTGCCCTCGCCCCCGCTCGACCAAACTCGGTAGGGCTGGACGCTACCACGTCCCGCTTGGCTGACCGGCTCCGCCCGCTCGCCCCGCCCAGTTCCACTGGAACTGATGGGACTCCACACTTTCTCAGTGTCCCGCCCGCCTGGCCAGATCCTGCCCCGTCGGGTTCGCCCGCCGAGAGAGAAAGAGAGACAGGCCAGTTGCCTCCAGGTACCTCTGGGTGAGGGGAGGAGACAGGGAGGAAGAGAGTGACGGAAGGAACACGGAAGGGGGGAAGGAAAACGAAAAACGTGAGGAAGCAGAGGGAATGGGAGGGAATGGAGAGGGAGAGGAGAGAGGCCCAGTTCTTGCCAAGCGGAGATCTGTGCTACCTGGCCCGCTCCGCCAGTTATGGACCGAAAAACTGCAAAGTACAAATTGTGATTCAAGACTATCCATATTGAAATCCGCCGATCCGGCGTGTGAGTTTCAAGGAGTCTCAGCTACAGCCTCGAGGCTGAGCTTCAGCCTCTGGGGGGGTCGCCGGGGTGGCTCTGCCGGGGAAGGGGGGGTGGGGGGGGGGGGGGGGGTGCGAGTTTCCGGCGAACCCCGGGGCCGCTCCGGGGGAGTGGAAGATAGGGGGGGGGGGGGCGCCATGCTCCGCTTTTTCCGGCGCTTTGGAGGAGGGGGGGGGCCCAAGAGACCCCCAAGGGGTTCCAAGAGGGCCCCGAGTCGCCGAAAAATCGCTCCAAGACGCCCGAGATGGCCTCCAGACGGCCCAAGGTGTCTCCAAGACGCCCCAAGAAGCTTCCAAGAGGCCTCCCAAGAGGGCCCCAAGAGGCCAGAATCGTTGATTTTCATTGGTTTTCTCAGGGTTTTTAGCGTTCTTGCCTTTTCGGGCGTCCGACGCTCGAAGACGGCCCAAGAGGCCCCCAAGTCCGTCCCAAGACGGCCCACGATGCTTCCAACACGGCCCAAGAGAGCCCCAAGACGGCCCAAGAGGGCCCCAAGACGGCCCAAGAGGGCCTCTGGACAGCCCAAGAAGGCCCCAAGAGAGCCCCAAGAGGGGCCCAAGAGGGGGACCACGAACCGAAAGAACCGAGCTTTCCGCCCCAAGAGGCCCCCAGGAGGCCCCAAGAGACCCCCAAGGGGCCCCAAGAAGCCCACAAGAGGCCCAAAAGAGGTTCCAAGAGGCCCCAAAACAGCTCCCCAGAGGCCTCCAGACTGCCTCCGGCAGGCCCCCGGTTTCTTCCGCGGCACCGCCCAGGGCGCCACCGGCAGGATGTCCTCCGTCTCATCGTTTTCCTTCAAGTTATCGCCTCTTCCTCATTCTCCTCCTCCTCCTCTGCGACCTCACTCCTATCCCTCAACGATCGCGTCACCGAGTGCCTCTTCTTTGAAACATCCTCGCTCTTCAAACGCACATCCATACACACATGCATACATACCTACATTTAAACACATTTGCATACATAGAAAAACAATCTTCCAGACATACATACTTACATTCACACACATACACACATATTATCATACACACATACAAACATACATACAAACTAAATACATACATACGCGCACAAGCATACATACATACATACGTACCTACACACAGGCACACATGATCAATGCATGCATACATGCATGCACGCGTACATACACACACATATATCGTGAAACTCACCGCGTGCTCGAAACTTGAGAGAGACCGCGGGAAGTCGAGAGAAGCCGCGGAACGAGGCCTCTACTACTACTACCACTACTACCACAACCACTACTACTACTACTACTACCACTACTACTACTACTACTACTACTACTACTACTGCTACTACTACTACTACTACTACTACTACTAATACTACTACTAGTACTACAGGAGCGTTTCCCAACTAGTATGTGTGTGTGGGTGATGCTGTGTGCGCATGTCTGCGGCGCAGGTTAAGTGGTGTGACTGTGTGTGTGCGTTTGAGTGTGCGCCCATAATTTCTGCGTCTGGAGAATAACCCCGAGCGACCCGGATCGGCGGCACTGGCCGAAGGCCACTACAATCTTGAAAAATCGAAATTATGCTTCGCCAACTTATCAACTCAATTTTCAATCTGGGAACTCCCAGATTGAAACCTTCCAGTTTTCAATGTGGGAGGTCCCAAGATTGAGGTTTTGCAAATCTTTAGATTTTCTATCTGGGGCCTTCAGTTTGAGATTCCGTAATTTTTCAATGTCCAATGTTTCAATCTGCGACGTCGGTCCTCAATTGTTTTAATGTTTCCATCCGCGCCGACGCCCCACATCAAACCACTGACAACCTGTTCATGCATTTGTTCACCCTCGAAGCAAGCGGCATCTTGATCACTACCACGACAAAAAAGATACCGAAACGGTTGACAAACAAACTGTTCATCGAAACGGCCTGGGCAGTCCGCGGGGCCGAAAGGCGTGCGGAAATGGTTCGAGAACGGCTCGGATCCGGCAACAAAAATGGTGATCTTGACCAAACCCGCACCTGGGGAACTGAAACTGTAAAACAAAAGGCGCCAGAATCGTCAAACATCTGCGCCAACAACGGCAAACAACAGACAAATAACACGGAATAAAAACGACAATCATAATCACGGCGCTGTCGTTTCCAGGGTCCACGGTAAGGAGGCGGCTATTAGGATGAAGCTCACGATTACGCCTAGAACTGGAGGGGACCAGGCTGGAGTTCGGCCAAGGACATGCTAGCGGTTAGCGCCGATACGACGACGACGACGGCGGCTCGCGAAAAAAGGAGGTCAGAGGCCAGGCCCCGAAAACGGAGGAAGGGGCGCTGGGTGGGTGCCGATGCCACGGACTGCTCCCCTGACCTCCCGAGGGGGGTGCGTTTTGAGCAGAGTATCGAAGAGACTCCAGCAAAGCAAACAGTGCAGGATGAGCAGCGGCATCGGTATAATGAGATTGAGGGTACACGCTCCTCTCCATCAGTGGGCCAGCCCCCCAAGCCCCCAGTCATTGCCCCTGAGTAGGAAGCAGAACAACCATCCTTATTAATAAGCAGCGCGACAAACAAAACACTTTGGTAAACTCACACAGTAAAGACATCGAACAGGGCAGGAAAGCAGTGTAGTCAACGCCCAAGGCCGTTTAGCAAACGCCAATTATGGTTGTCGGGGTGGTTATTCCTCCCTTTAGTGAGGGAGGAGGGGCTCAAGGCGGTCTGCATGGCTCGTCAGCTTTCTGGAGGTGCTGGAGCGTGACGTGCTGTCAGGTTCTGGGACGGAAGTGGAAGGGTGGACGAGGAGCGCGGCGCCAGGAGGAATGGAGAGCAGAGAGCATGGAGGGCGCAGGGAAGACAGATACTCGAGGAGGGAGGGGCAGGGGCTGGGAGCACAGGCCTGCAGGGCCTTGTGCAGGCGCACCATGTCCCACTCGTGAAGCTCGCGCTCCTCGCCCTGCACGGGCTCTCGGGGCTCTCCGGCCGCCGCCGCCGCCGCGGCTGCCGTTGCCGTCTTCGTCCCGCCGACGCCGCCACCATCGACCGCCGCCGCCGCCGTCGTCGACCGCCGCCGCCTTCATCGACTGCCGCCGCGGTCGTCGTCTTCGTCCCGCCGCTGCCGCCGCCGTGGTCGACCGCCGCCACCTTCGTCGACCGCCGCCGTCGTCTTCGTCCCGCCGCCGCCGACTTCGACCACCGCCGCCGTCGTCCTCTTCGTCCGCCGCCCCGTGGCCGCCGACGACGTCGACCACCGCCGCCGCCGTCTTCGTTCCACCGACGCCGCCACCGTCGTCGACCGCCGCCGCCGCCGCCGCCGTCGACCGCCGCAGCCGCCGACGACGTCGACCGCCGCAACCGACGCCGTCGCCCATCGGCCGCCGACGCCACCGCCAGCGTCGTCGACAGCCAACGCTGACGCCCGTACCGTTGCCGTAGATCGATCGAGGCACAAGTACCATTACACATCATTTCATTGATGCTTGACGATTTCTGATCTTTCATGAGCCTCCGGATGACCCTGCGGATATCTGCGAAGACCTCTGGGACGCTCCGAGGACTTGGCACCACAAAGGGACCCCCAGGACCGCCAGAGGTCAGCGTCGTCGCCGCCGCCGCCAGTCAGTCAATCGATCGATCGAGGTTCGAGGACACATTGCTCTTGACGCATCTTCTCCTTCTTCTTTTCACTAGCATCTTGAGGTCTCTGGGGAACTCATGGCGCCTATGGGTGCCGCCGATGACCTCCTGGGACCACCATACGTCGTCGTCGTCGCCGATCTTGCCGTCGCCGTCGCCGCCGTCGTCGTCGCACTCCTCATCCTGAGGAGTAGGGGGAGGAGGATCCAGAACGGGGGGGGACGGAGGGATCATGCAAGGATGGAGAGGTTTCGCGTCGGCAGGCCCAAAGACGTGCAACAACACTCTCGATGGGGACCCTGGCCAGCCCGGGGGCCCCCTCCAGCGCTCCCCCCACACTTGCTTGTGTAAGCTTTCTCTTTTTCGGCACTTCGACATTGGGCAGACGAGGGGGAGGGGGGGGTCTCGATCCGGACCTCTGCTCAATGCCACTGCTTGCAACAGAGCGTCCTGTAGGGGAGCCTCCAGCTGCCCGAAACAGGCGTCAAAAACAGCCAAGATCTACTCCACGGGAGGGGGGAGGCGGAGTGCGAGGGCCCGCGCCGATCGGCAAAACAGTGAATAAGAAAACGATACCTTTGGCATGTGGGCGGCGCGGTTGCTGTACGTCTGAGTCCCTGTGCCTATTCCGGCTCGGCGCGGCGGGGGCGCTTGACGGGTTCTTTGACGTGGTCGGGGCCTCTCCCCGCCGCGCCCGCTGCCCTCCCGCTCCTCCTCGCCTCTCCTGCTCCTCCCCCCCTGCCGCTTGCCCTCTCGGGTCGTCCCCGTCAGTCGTTCTCCTCTCTGACTACCTGCCAGACCACCCAAACCCAACCCGAAGATTCGAATTTCGGGTTGGGGTGGGTACGGGCTTCAGATGCGTTTTCTGTTAATGTTCCCCGACCCCCCCCACACTGGAAATGGAGGGCGAATCGGGGCCTTCGGGTTGGGTTGGGGTGGTTTGGTGGACGGTAACTGCCCTCCAGGGGAAGCCCCGCCCCCCCTCTTGGTTGGTCTGCCACCTCTTCAGAACCGGCTCAGCCCGCGGGGATTGAGCCGGGTGTGGCTTCGTCTGCAGACAGTATGGCCCAGGAGGATCAGGGCGGACAGGGGGGGGAGAAGCAGCAGAAGCAGGAGACGGGAAAATGATACGTAATTACCTGAGGTTTGGCGGTCACCTTCTGAAATCCGGGGGAGGTCCTAGGGCGTCCGCCCGTCTGCAGACCTACCCCTGTTTCTCCTCCCCATCTTCTCCTTATCCTCCTCCCCGTCCTCCTCCTATGTGTCCCCTCCCCTCTGTCTCCGCTTCCTCTTCCTCCTCCTCCTCCTCCTCCTGCTCTTCCTTTCTTCCTCCCGTCCCACCTCCTCTTTCTCCCTCCCCAGTCTACGTCCCCTATCCTCCTCCTCCTCCTCCTCCTTCTCCTCCTCCCCCTTCTCCTCCTCCCCCTCCTCCTCCTCCTTCTCCTCCTCCTCCTCATCCTGCTCTTCCGTTCCTCCTGCTGTCGATTTGCTCGTTCCGCATCCTCCGCATCCTCATCGTCCTCCTCCTTCTCCTCCTTCTCCTCCTCCTCTTCTTCTTGCAACCCTGATCCTTCTCCTTCGCATCCCTCCGCTTCAGGCTCTGCCTCCATCACATGTTCCTCGCATCCTCCGTCTCACCCTCCTCCACTCCTCTTCCCTCCTCAACCTCCGCCTCCTTTTCCGACCTCACACCGTCTTTGCCCCCCGCCTCCGGCGACTCCTCGCTACATCCGTACATCATCAACGCACGCCTATCGGGACTCCTTACACTCTCTCCTGCTCCTCCTCTGCCTCCTCCTGCTCCTGCTCCTGATCCGCCATCGCTGACACACCCTTCTGCTGCTCCTCTCCCTCCGCCACAGCCTCCCCCTCCTCGACAAGAGCCGACGCGAACACCGGGTTTCCCTTCTCCTCCTACTCCTCCCCAGTCCCCTCGCCTCCCTCCCCTCCTCCCCCCTACCCTCAGAAGATGGCTGCGAAGACGACGACGACGAAGACGACGACGAAGACGACCACGCACGACGACGACGGAGATCCCTCCCTTGGACAGTGGCCAGGGGGGCGCCGTCTTCAAGAACTCGTCCCAGAGCTCCTGCAACTGCAGCAGCCCGGCGCCAGGCTCTTGCACAACGAGGCTGGTACTGGCGGTCAGGCGGGTAAGGGAGAACCCTCCTCTCGTGATGATGGCCATCATCGTCAGCATCGTCCTCCTCCTCCTCCTCCTCCTCCTCCTCCTCCTCCTCCGCCTCGGCCTCCGCCTCCTCCTTCTCCTCCTCCTCCTCATCACCACCACGATCACCATGGCCATGAAGATCTATCTTTAACGCCGGAATACTCACCATCAGCATCCGCTAGCATCGCCATCATCACATACAGCATAATCATCAACATCATCATCGTCAACATCATAATCAACATCAGCATCAGCATCATCGCCGTCAAATCGTCATGGTCTTCAGGCTAATACTCTTGCCATCGTCAACTTCATATCAGTCAACCCCCTCCTCTTGGAGAACATGCATAATCATCGCTATCCTCCACCATCGCCCTGCTCCTCCCTCTCCACCTCCTCCTCCTCCTCCTCCTCCTCCTCCTCCTCCTCCTCCTCCTCCTCCTCCTCCGGTAGAAAAGGATGATGACGGTGAGAGTGGGTAGGGCTGGCGGAGCGGGAGGAGGAAACTGGAGGACACGGAGGAGGGAGGGGGCAACGGGATGAGGCTCTGAAGGCGGGGACGATGGTAACGCCTAAACGGGGTAACAGACCCACCATGGGATCCAGGTGGAAAAACTGCAACGACCAAAACAAACAAATGCACTGTATATTTCTGCAACGCAAAATGAATCTGCACTGCAAATTGTTGGCAACTAGTTCCGAACAAACTGCAAACAAGCACACAGACCGGGTAACAGAGGGCCCAAAACAAAAAGTTGCAGTGCAGCAGCCAGCATGTGGAAGGTGCTGCATCGAACGCGAAAGCAAAACAACTGCACTACAACAAAAGGGACATTTGATGCCTCGAAGCGGCCGTTTCCTGTTACCCCGTCTGCTGTTACCCCGTCTCTGGATCCCTGAAAGGAAGGTGGGGCCGGGTCGAGTGCCGGTTGCTCCACGACCTGGCTCGCTCACCACCGAAGGCAGGCGGGCATGTTTGTCCTGTGATCGTGGGTCGAAGCCGCAGAGACGCCTGCACCCTGACCCTGTCTGCATGGCGTGCCTTCGCATCTCGCTTTGAGCTGGTCTGGGCAAGGGTTGCGGTGGGGGCGTGGTCATGCCAGGGCAGGGCGGGAAATTGGGCTGGGGGTGGGGCCCCCCTTCCTCTCTGCCCCTCGTATTCCTACCCTCCCGTCTCCTCAGCTTCGCACCTCCCGTCCCTCTGTATCTCATTCGCGGAACCCGTGTAGAGCTACTCATTGGCAACATGCTGCTCACGAGACGACGAATTGAACGACCGCAACTTCTCTCCTCTCCCCTTCGTTCCGCTCTCCAACCCACCACCTTGCCACTTTCGGTTTCATGCATTTATGCTCCGCAAGAAGATCCAGGATGCTCCTTGTCCCCGCCGAGAAAAATTGCACACTTCCGAGCCATACCAAGATGAGCGCCCTACCCATGCGAGCCAGACTTCTGTAGGAAGGGCTGGGGCTCAGAGTTCAAAGGAGACATGCAGCCAAGTGAACTCCAACGGGGGGTGTCCCATGCCGCAGCGCCGGCCGGACCCGCGGGGTGGGAGTTTTGGAGCAGGGCGACGAGGCGACGAGGGTCCCCCCGAGGCGACGAGGGTCCCCCCGAAGGCCAGCTGCAGCTGCGTCTACATCGCAGAGCGAGGGGTTGACTGGGAAGGACCTTAACGCTCCTTGACAAAAGCCTTGCTCCGATGTCTGGCTGCCGCGATCGCCGTGGCGACCTCCAAAACCGACCGGGAGAGTTGGTTCGGGGTAGGATATCACGCAGCTGATGGGGCGAGGAGGGAGGAGGGAGGAGGGAGAAGGGAGAAGGAGGAGGCGGAGAAGGAGGACAAGGATGAGGAGGACCTCCCCATCCTCACTTCTCCCCCGTCCCAGCTATTGCAAAGGTGGTGAAAGTCTAGCACATCAGCAATGGTTTGGGGAAACCAAGATGTGCGGATACTGCTACTCCCTGGACCTCCCCTGTACTGCGTTCTGCCAGGAATTGTGATGCGAATCAACCGGTGGCGACGAGGGGGAAAACGAGGCAAGAGTAGCGGTATCAATACCTTGTCCTCCTCTGAGGTTTGATCCAGGGTTGGATATCACGCAACGACTCCTCCGAGAACTGCAGGGGCAGGACCCGCATCTGCCCGCAGAGGCCCATTGCCAAGCCCCCTGAAGGCCCACACGGCGCGCACGACGCCTGGCGCGCCCGGGCCGGCATAGCGGCCACGGTCCCCAGGCGTTGCTTCATGGGGGGGCGATATATAATGGAGGGGGGACGTAAGCAGAGTCTTTCCTTACCATGTTGCCTTGGTGTTTGCTTTGCCCCCTGGAGGGTCGAGGCCCATCCCGGCAGCTAGAGCTCGTCGAGAAAACGGGGACCATGACCTGGGGAAACCAACAAGTACCGATACTGCTACTCCCCAGACCTTCCGGGGGGGCGCTGTGACCAGGATTTCGAGGCGAACCCAGCCATTACGACGAGGGCCTCCCAGGAGACCCAAAAAGGTGAAAACGAGGGAAAAAGGGTAGCGGTATCAGTACCGTCTTCCTCCGCTGATGACCAAGACTGAACGCGAAAACATCGTGCCGATCTTGGTCAACGTAGATCTTGGTCAGCGTCATTTCGCGGATCTTCTTCCCGAAGCGGCCACGGCCAACATGGACCATGACCAAGATCGGCATCGACAGGATCCCGTGACATCGTGGTCATGGTCTCCGTGTTCCTGCCCTCGAAAATAAGGGGTGTGGAACGTGCACCTTTCGTGCCCCTTTTGGGCCCCAGGGGGGGGGGGGGCCCTTGAGGGCCTCACTGAGGCCCAAAAGCTGCATCCTAATTCACCCCTCCCATGTGGCGCCCCTGCCCCCCCCCCATTACGAAACGCCCGAAGTCCGCCCAAGACCAAGTCCCCGTGCCCCCCTCGGGATCCGGTCCTCGGGAAACCGTTGCCCACCCGGGATGGACCTCTGGCGGCCCTGGGGCCAAACGCAGGGCCCCGACGGGCCGATCATACAGACAGCAAAGAACAACAACAACAACAACCAACAAACAAGCAAACAAACAAGCAGGCAAGCAAACAAGCAAACAAACACGCGGACAGACAGACAGGCAGACAGACAGACAGGCAGACAGGCAGACAGGCAGAAAAACAGGCGGGCAGGCAGGCAGGCGGGCAGGCAGGCAGGCAGGCACACAGACAGACAGACAAGCAAACCAACCTCCCTGCTCGTTCCTGGTCCTGCACGAGTGTCTCCGCACGCTGGGCATGCGGGAGAGAGATCGTGGGCGAAACACGTATCCGTACCAGCGGCCTCGCGGGCCGGGCCCCTGGGACGCGACCCCGCGGATACGAGGCGTCTTTTCGCGGATGCCCCGCGCGGAACGCATCCGTGCGACTGCGTATCTGCGGGATCGCGCCCCCCGGAATCCAGATTGTGAGGGCGTGGAAATGTACACATTCGCCGCTCGTGAGAAACAGAGAGAAGAAAGAGAGAGAGAGAGAAAGAAAGACAGAGAAAGACACACACACACACACACACACACACACACACACACACACACGCACACGCACACGCCCACGCACACGCACACACACGCACGCACGCACGTTCGCACAAAAATGCGGACACGCGTGTCCGGGCGAGCAGGGGCCAGCGCCTGCGCGGCCCAGCTCACTTAGAGGCCGAGCCCAGCCTGTATGAACAAGGGGCCCGGAAACGAAGTCCCCCCTGGCGCCGAGGCGACTGGACAAGAGGCGCGGGGCGGTGACAGGAAGCACGCGGGGGAGAGGGAGAGAGAGAGAGAGAGAGACAGAGAAAGAGAAACAGAGAAAGAAAAAAACAGAGAAAGAGGGTAAGAGAGACAGAGAGAGGCGTGGGGACGCGGGGGGTCCTCAGGTTGCTCTCCGGCTCCGGTTCCTCCTCTTCCTCCTCGGCGCGCGCGGATGGCGCACAGAACGCCTCGTCGTCGTCCTGCTCGTCGTCCGGCGTCCAGATCCTCGTCCTCATCCTCCTCCTTCCCCTCCTCCTAAGGACTCCAAACAGCACTGATATCGATACTCCCCAGACCTTTCCCAGGGTACGTTCTGACGAGGATTTCGAGGCGAATCCAGCGGTGGCGACGAGGGCCTCCCAGGAGGCCCAAAAGGGGAAAACGGGCGAAGGGTAGAGATATGGGTACATATTCCTCCTCTGACCTCCTCCTCCATCCTTTCTCTTGATAAATACCTCATCCCCCTCGCACGCCAGACTTGTCTGAAGGGTGGGCCGGGCGTTTCGCCTGAGACTTCCTTACCACTTCTGACCCTGAAGCTTCAAAAGTGACAACAATTTCACACATGGAGGGCGGATGGTTTTCAAAATGTGGTTCTTAGCGCCGCGTGAATTCGAGTTAAAAATTGCAAGAGCTTCCCGGATTGAGGGCGGTTCCTTTTCAAAATGTGGCTCCTGCCTTAGCGCCGCGCACATTCGATTTAAACATTGCAAGAGCTTCCCGGATTGAGGGCAGTTCCTTTTCAAAATGTGGTTCCTGCCTGAGCGCCGCGCAATCCTTTTTCAAAGAGTGCAAGAACTTCACGGATTCCCATGGTCAACGTACCAAAAATGGTGTCTTGGGAAGCGTCAGGATTACGAGGATGCAGAAATTCAGTTGATTCGCAAACTTGAACTCCCAGGAACGGCGTTCTGGCACGATTCATGATCGTCAATACGCAACGGTCCAGTTCTTGAGGGTGCGCCGCTGGATCTCCCCAATGGAGGGGGGGGTTAGGACCCCCCCCCCCGGGTTCGGGACCCCCCCCCCTCAAGGGAAGGAGGGGGGGAGGGGGTTCTGGACCCCCCCCCCTTGAAGGGGGGGAGGGGGAGGGGGGCCCCCTTCAGTGTATTCAATGAGATCCACTGGCGCACTTTCCTGGTTCTTCTGTGGAGTTGGGGTCCCGAGAATAGATGTGTTGGCATGATTAGGGGTCCTCAGGCGGTTGTCTTCCAGCCAGGCAGTTCCCTAAATGGAAATGAATCCTTGTAGGGGCCTATGAAGAGGGAGCTTGGAGAGAGGGCTTCTTCCGACATCGCTGATGACTCTTGGGTTTACACTGGTCCGCCTCCTCCTCCTCCTCCGCCTCCTCCTCCTTCTCCTCCTTCCCCCTCCATTTCGCGGCGTGCAAAATCCACGGGCACCAGCCCCCCCGGCGACCGCGCCCTGGAGCCAGCTGCCCGGCCAGCGCGAGCACGACGGGCCCAACCCGCCGACGCCTCCTGGAGGGCGGCCACATCGGCCATGCCCTCGAGGCAGGTGCGCAGGGCGGCCACGTCGGCGATGCCCCCGAGGCACGTGCGCAGCTGCCAGGCCGTCGCCAGATGCAGGGCGACCGACAGCTCGGCGCCCAGGCGCTGCGTGAGGGCACAGACCGCTTCAGAGCTGCCCTCCTCGTCCCCTCCCCGCGAAGAGCCGCAGGTGGCGCGGAGCCGCTCTGCCGTGACGCCCCCCCGTTTCCAGGGCCAGGGGGGGGCACTGACCACGGCGCGCGCCTGGCTGGGTCGCGGCGCCGCTTGTCAGCTTCCGTTTCTGCGGTGACGGCGCCGTCACGCCAGGCCGCCGCTGCGAGGCGCCAGGCCCTCCTCCTCCTCCTCCTCCTCCTCCTCCTCCTCTGGATCCTCCTCCTCTGGATCCTCTTCCACCGCCCTCCTCCCCCTCCTCAATCTCCCCCTCCTCATCCTCCCTCTTCCTCCCTCCCGTTCTTTCTCCCTCATCCTTCCTCCTCGTTCGTTGCTCCTCGCTCTGCATTCAAAAGCAGCCACACGTCAAGATCTGGACATAGGTAATAGTGAGTTCTCTTCCTGCACTCGTTTGGGTGCCTTATTGCTGGAGCAGCGTGTGCTTGTACACGGTCTGATCCTCCAAGGACCCCGCGTGTAGTTCAACATGAGCAACAATAGATGCCGAATAAAGTCAGTCTCATTATGACGCCCATCAATCCTTGCCAGTTCCTCCCTCATTCCCCCCCTCCAACCTCCTCCACACCCTCCACCTGTGTAGAAACAAGCAAAACCCCAGAACCTGCAAGAGTCCCCGAGAACACTCATAACTCCGCTACTCCCTAAAACCAATAGGCGTCCGCGGCGACACCGAAACACGACGACACAAACAGCGACACCGAATCGACCGAAAACAACAGCCTCTAAGGACGTGGCGGCGCAGCAACCGACACAACCGACAACAAACCTACCGAATGCAACATAATGCAACCGACTGCAACGCGCAGCCAAACAAGCCGAGCCGAGGACACCCATCACAACCCTCTCAAAACTACCGCTTCCTCCTCTCCGAACCCTCCTCCTCTTCGACCCATCCGCCTTAAACGACAACGGTTACGGCATCTTCGTGCCGTGACGACTGCGCACTGGTTTCTGACACCGCGCACATCGCTCAACATTGAACGACTAGCTGCTTTTCGATCGCCAGATCGTTCCGTGTTGGCCGATTCTGGGCCACTGGCGGCATTCAACCTTGAACGCTAGCGGCGGGGTTGACGCCGACTCGACACGACGCGAAACTGCCGTACTACGGCGGCGGCGGCAACGACGACGACGGCGGCGACGGCGACGGCGACGGCAACGGCGACGACGACGACGAGGACGACGGCGCACGGCGACGCCCCCCGCCCCCGCGCCGCTGCCTCGAGCTCGTCAACGCCGTCGAACTGAATCTCGTCCCAGGACCTCCAGGCCCGCGGTGGGAAATGGAGGACGACAACGTAGTTCGCACCACATATATTCTCCATTTCTGAGAGAATGCCAAGATCTACCTCCCCGGGATTCACCGTACACCTTCTGTCCGTATTGCACATTGCATACGACCATGCCTCATCGTCAATCCTTAAAATAAATCAGTCGCGTCCCACACAGGCCGGGTTTGCCTATCCATTATGCTTTGAGGAAAAAGTTATGCGCGCGCACTCGTTTAGCAAAACGCACTTGCAACAAACAAGCCACGAACCAAGCACTCGAACTAGATTCCAAGAGCCCCGTGCAACAAATAAAAAAGGACGTGCGCACGCGTGTGACGTCACGCGCGCACGCCGAAACGTGTCCAGACGGAACCTTCGGTTTCGCAATTGATTTTAACACCGGGGGGTGGAATACATATAAACAACACATGGTTTCGCAATCGGGGTTTTCATTATATATAGATATAGAGAACGCCTGCGCCCACGCATTTGCGAATTCTCATGGGGACCATCGCTTTCACCATCAGAAAAATGCTACCGCGCGAATGTTTTGGCGCGCGCGTGCCGTAATCGTTCGAACGCCTTTTGCGCGCGTGCTGTCGCAGCATTCGTTTGCAAACCACATTGGTTTGCAACATCAATGTTCAAAACAAGCCTGCGCTCGCTGTCTTGTGGGCTCTTGAGAACTGCAGATTCCCCCCCCCACATGTTCATCGCACTCTACCAAACAAACTTCTCGTGCCGCATGTCGAACTCCTTCGAACGCCTTTGCGCGCGTGCTGGGGCGGCACGATCGTGTCAACCAGCACCGCGCGAACCACTCCCACGCGTCGGCCGTACGCGCATGTCGAACTTCCTAAAAACCTTGATCACTGACGCGGGGGCATCGTCACCGTTATCGGCGGGCGTGATCAGCATCGGCGCCGTCATTGGCTTTGCCGTCGTCATCGCCACCATCGTCACTATCATCGCTACTCTCATAATAATGTATACCGTTGTCGGCGTCGCCATGATACCGCACCCGCCCAAACAACCGACTCGCACAGAAGTGCCCGCTGGGAAAAACCCAGCCGTCAGCGCCACCGCGGCCGCGTCGGTCGCGCCAAACCTCTTGGCTTCTGTTCGCGCGAGCATGCGCGGGCTAGCGCGGCCGCACAGATGCACCAGCCAACGCCAAGCACTCATCGAAATCGCCGCCACATCGGTTTTGCAAACCAAGTTGCGGGTGGTGGGTGGGATGATTGCACGGGCATGGAATCTGTCAACTCATGTAAAACCAACTGCGCCACACAGGTTGCACCACATAGGTAGCACAGCATTAATCACACGACCTATATTGCACAACAAAGATTGCACCACACAGGTCGCACCACGCATGTTGCACCACATAGGTTGCACCGCTTCGGCGGCTTTGTAGCCCCCGTCGCAGCCCCGTCGCCGTCTAGTGGCCGCCCGTCGTCTGGACCTGACGGCCCACTCTAGCGGCTACGTAGCCGCCATCGCCGCCCCATCGCCGCCAGTCATCTGGCCTGTTTGTCGGTCTGGCGGCTATGTGCTCGCCGTCGTCGCTGCCGTCGCCGCACGTCGCCGCCGCTCCGCTTGATTGCACCACATAGACTGCTTTGTGTTCCTTGGCCTTGCAGAGATTCGGGCTGCCTGGGTGGCGCCCAGCCGCGGAGCTCTGGCAACACGAAGCAATTACGATCGACCAGGCTCATCCACGGGGGGGTGCGTCCTCGAGGCAACGCCCTGCCCTCCAGGACATGAGGCCCCCAAAACATTGTAGAGGCTCCGGAAACCTCCTCGGCTTAGATCCTGGAGCCTCGATCGTCACGAGATATTGGTGACCCCCTTAGCGGTGACCCCCCCGCAGCACTGCCCGAATCGGGCATGGAAAGCAAGCGGGACCGCACGGTGATCCGCAGGGCAGAAGCTGGCAAGGGCGGAGCCGTGCCGAAGCACAGAATCGGGGAAAACGCGCCAGCCCTATGAGGATTGGCAACAGCACGTCGCAGCGCGCACCGTCGAAACGGCGCCTCTCCGCCTCGCTAAGGCACACCGCACTCAGGCTGCAGAGAGGCTTCGGCGCGACTGATGCCGACGCCGCCGACGGCGCCGAGAACGACTACGGCGGCGTTGGAGCGCCGACGACGACGACGCCGACTCGGCGGTGGACTAACCTCCCTTGAGTACGGCCTGGGACTGAAACCGACGGACCTGGGCCCGCAAAAATGACGGCTGCGACGCCCTCTCGCGAACCGAAACCGGCCAATTCACTAATCGACGTGTCAGGGTAGAAGGCTTATCAACCTCCGACCGACGACGACGACGACGACGAAGACCACGACGACCACGACGACCACGACGACGACGACGACGACCACATCGACGCCGACGACGCCGCCGCCGCCGCCGCCGCCCGCCGCCGCCGCCGCGACGACGGCCGCGATGACGAACGGCGGCGGTCGCTGGCGTCGGCCGCCTCCCGAAGCCGGCGGCGAGCGAGCTGGCGGCGCCGGGCGCGGGCCGCCCGCGAGCGCGCCAGGGCGAGAGTCCTGGCGGGAAGGCGTCGAGGGTCGACGGACGAGGAGGAGAGGACGAGAGTTATGTTGTTCCCATCCTACTCAAAGGACCACCTCCCAGAAATAATTTCAGTAACCCCGGAAAGTGTCAAAAGAGTGTCGAAACAGTGTCGGGCGAGTGTCTCCCAGGGCCGAACACGTGAAAACCCTTGAATTTCGGTACTCTCTTGGGCGCTCGAAATTCTTCCTGGTGATCAAGGCTAAAGTAGGTTGAAACATCACAAGACGAGAGGGGATGGGGACCCAGACATCTGGCGTCTCGAAGAAATCGTGACGGAGGTTTTTCGTCGTTTTCGGCCTCTCGGGGCCTTCACGGCATCTCGGGACCGTCAAAGAAAGACTCGGGATGAAAAACCGGTCCCGGGGAAGTGGTCGGGAGGTCGGGGGCCCGTGTCTCGAAAAAATCGGAATGTCGGATGTCTGGAAGGGAAGGGGGAGCAAAGGAGGGCGGAGGCATGAGAGATAGAGGAGGAGGAGGAGGAGGAGGAGGAGGAGGAGGAGGAGGAGGAGGTGGAGGTGGAGGTGGCGGGCGGGAGGAAGGACGGATGCGAGGGAAGGGAGGGCGGAGGAGGGATGAGGGGGGGGGAGGGGAGGTGGAACAAACTCCCGGAATACATCCTCCCGCCCCAACACTCCCGCCTCACGAGCCCCTGCAGGACCTCCTTCTCGCTGCGGGAAGCGCCCCCCCCCCCCCTGAATGACGAGCGCCCACTGGGCTGCCACTCGGGCGGGACCCTGTCTTCTAGAGGACCCACACGCCAGCCACGTAGCGTAATCAGACACCAGGAGGTCGGATGGTGCAGATCATGCAAGAACCCGACGCTGGCCCCGCGTCAAAAACATCAGCCCTCCCACCGTGCAGGCGTTGTACTATGCCAGAGTTCAGACCATTGGAGCGGTGTACAATCTCAAGCGAGAGCCCGACCAGACAAAGAACGTCAGGAATGAACAAACAACATCGTCAGAGATCTGGGTTTGTAGACCAGCGCGTTCCACTACTCGCAGAGGAACTACTCACAAATGGCCTAGATCCGCCGCGGGGGATGTGCGATCCTTTGCGTGGAGGAGGACATGCATTGTTGTTTCCTGACGTTTGCGAGTAGGCACTTTGCGAGTAGTGGAACGCGCTCGGTGAGTTTTCACGCCCTGGACCCAGACATCCGACGATGCCATGTCTCCATCCCTGGCCACATACCCCCCGACCGTTCCCCCGGGGAATGTTTTCGCCCCGGTCCACTTTTGCTTGTCCCAGCGCCCGCAAATGGCGCCCCGGTGCAAAGATGTGTGAAACCTTCGAACCATCCTCGATCAAGCCGAGAATTTGTGGCAGTAGATGGGGTCGGGGGGTCGCGCCGCATCGCCGATGCATCGGCGATGCATCGGCGATGCACTGGCGATGCATCGTCGACGTGGGCGATGCACCGGCGACGTCGACGCGGAGCAAATCGGGCTCCACATCGAGCCGCATCGGCGATGCATCGGCGATGCGGCGCGATCCTCCGACCCCATCTACTCCGAACCCATATAGGAGGCCAATCTATCCGACGTCTCGTTGTGTTCGAGACACAGCCCCCCGACCTCCCGACCACTTCCCCAGACCGGTTCTTCATCCCAAGCCGTTCTTTGACGGCCCAGAGATCCCGTGAAGGCCCCGAGAGGCCGAAAACGACGAAAAACCTCCGTCACGATTTTTCCGAGACGCCCGGCGTCTGGGAGGCCTACTCCGAGTTTCTTCATAAGCGTCGGGGGGGCATCACCCCCGCCGACAGCCCCACAGCGACCCCCGTCGCGGGCAGCCACCGCGCGCCTCGGGCGCTCCGACCCCGTCGCGGCGCGACGACGAGGCGATGTTGACCCCCGTCAGGGGGGTACCCCCCCACGCTTACTAAGAAACCCAAGAAGTAGACTGACGCTGCCCGGGAGACAGACCCCCCTGGGCGGCAGCGCCGCCGCGCCTGCGGCGCGCGCCGCGGACCCGCAGGACGCAGCGCGGCAGCCAAGGCGCCCTGGCGCGGCCGGCGCCCGCGCGCCCTGAAGCACGGGCGGGGCGAAGGCCTGGCAGCGCGGCGCGGGCGCGCGCGCGCGCCTTGCGCGTGCATCGCGCCGCTCGGCCGACGACGACGACGACGACGACGACGACGACGAACACGACGACGACGGTGGCGACGACGACGACGACGACGACGACGACATCGACGACGGCGGCGGCGGCGGCGACGACGGCGACGACGACGGCGACGACGACGACGACCGGCCTGGCCCCGCCGCCCCTCGACATCGAGATCCCGGGCCTCCGAGGTGGTGGCCGAGAACATTGCCAGGGCTTCTCGCCGTGATCTCGGGGGCCGCAAGGCCGTGTGGTTACATACCCCGTGGTGACCTCGGAACCCGTGGTGACGGACCCTGTGGTGACCTCGGGGAACCCCCTAACGACCCCACCACGCGATGTGTCGCCACACGGCTTTGGGAACCTGCACGCCGCACCGTTTGGGACCCCCGATCTTCGGTGATGGCTTGTGCAAAGCCCTCTGATGAGCGTCAGCAAAAATCTGCTCGGGATGAAGTCAAAGCCATTCGGGGTCAAGGCTTCCGGTGATCACGTTAAAAAAACATCTAGGCAACCTGCATGCGAACTCTATCCCTGCAGGTCAGATTTCTGGAGAGCCAGCTGGGGCTCAGATTTGCAAGGGTGTCTGCAGCCGAGCGGATCCTTGCTCGGGTTCTGATACCCCTGCGTCGATTCGATCCTCTGGGGTAATATTCATATCTGGTTGCAGAACATCGGACCTCTGGGACTGGAACTTTTACCATCTTTTCGCCGGTTTGTGAGCCGTGCTTGGGCCACCAGAGAGCCCATGGCAACCCATGGGAGCCGAACGGAATCCGCCCTTGCACGACTGCAGTCGCGATGGCTTAACAGAAGAAGGCCACTCTGAGAGCTTAGGAAGCAACCCCTGCAAGGTCGTCGCAAACACGATGGGAAGCTCTAAGACCGATGCGAATGCAACATTGCCAGACTATCCTAACTGACCCCCCAAGATGACTCCAACGCCGGACTGAACGACATGCACCACCCCGTGTTGGCGTCTGGAAACCCCGGAATCTTGTGGTCCTCCCTCTGGAGTGGGCCTCCCGAGGACCAAGTCTCAGGTCACCGGAAGCTGACCCCCGGCTTGACCAAGAAACGGCTGAACCCCAGAAAAAACAGAGAGAGAGAGAGGAGGAGGCAAGCAAGAGCAAAACAGGAAAGGTGAAGAACCCACGCGTTCCTGAGGGTTGCGAAAGCCTGGCGCTCGCAGCAAACAACCAATTCAGCAGCGTCGCATCATGGGGGACGGATTGTTTTCACGCAAAGGGGACATTCTACTCTGGCCGCGGCACCGGCGATGGAACAGACGACAAACGACACCCGACGACAGCTGAGGCCTCCGAAATTTCTCGAAGGAGGGTCCCGGATGTCCCTGGATCTTGAGAAACAGCCGAAGCCGACAAAACATCTCGATCCCCGAACATTGACGACGACGGACATGGTGACAACGACACTGGAGGACGACGACGGAGGACCAAAATGACGGACGCCGAAATCGGGACAACGACGGCGACGACAACGGACGCCGACGACAACGACGACAGCGACGACCGACGACCGCGACGGCTCACGACGACATCGTCGCCACTGTCGCCGTCGCTGGCTGGGGCGTCTGGATGGGGGCTGGGATGTCTGGATGTTGACTCTTCAACTGGTTGGGATTCCAATTTCTGGCGTGCCGAACGAAGGAGAAAAACAACAACGACGACGAAAACGACGACGACGACGACCACGCACGACAAAAACGACGGTGTGGAATGTAAGGGGGTAGCTGCAGGGAACACAGGGAGACACGAAGTACAATGGGGGGGGCCCGTGCTGTGAGAGAGCAGGTCCCTTTCCATTTACGGGGGCCAGGGCGCGCCCGTCGCCGACGCGCCGAGATGACGCAAGAGCCTTTGTGAGCCGACGTGGCGGCACACAAGGGAGTTCAGAGAGATGCGCAGGAGGAGGGGAGGCTGACATGGGCCTGACAATCACAGCTCCGACCTTCCTTGCAGTCGAAACGCCGCCTCGCATCAGCACATGAGATTCCGTTCGTGGTAGATAACTACCGTAGCACTTCCATGTAGTCACTCCCCAAGCGTCTGCGACGTACAGCCGGCACGGCTACGCGAACACGTTGGCCTTGAGAACGTCCCTAGGAGAGATCCTTGAAGGGGTTGTCCGACACGGAGTCCATGGTGACATCCCCAGACTTGGCTGCATCAGTAGTCTGCCCCATCTGATCAATGAAACTCTGCGGCTCGACCCCGCGATGGTCGTACTGTCGGCCAGTTTGCTCCAAGTAACGACATGCTGCGCTCGGCTCCTCGGTCCACTGAGGAACCTATCTCTCGCGCCTGGGAATCAGCTCGACCTCGAGAACGGGCAGGCCGGAGTCGTCGACCTTCTCGTCTGAGTACGCGCGGACACTCGGAAACGCTGCGGAGATGGCCTGCGCCGCAAGGTACATCCTGACATCGCGATTCCAGTTCCTACGCCATCCAAAGATTTGCTGATTCGCCTGCGCCCTGTCCCAGACCCCCCTCATCGTCGTCGCGTGGATCCAGAGCGCATCGACGTAAACGCTGCCTTCGGTCTGGCACCGCTGCTTGTGGACACGCATCCTGTCCTGGGACAGCAAGTGCGACGATTGCGGCCCGCCTCCAGCTCGAAAGTGCTCTTGACCACGTAGCGAGCGCAGGCGGTGCGGCGACGCGTTCCTTCGCAGAGAATGACAAACACTTTTTTCCCCAGCTCGATGCTCGAAGTTCCCGGCATCAACTCGATCGGGCCTTTCTTGCTCCAGAATGATGCCAGTGCTGCCAAGTTGGCGCCGCGGCAGGCGGTCTCGAGTTTGGCCCCCTTCCTGCTGAGCCCCTTGCCACGCTGCATCTCCGCGGCGCATGTCGCCGACGCATCCATGGCCCACCGCTGTCCGGTCGGATGCGCATTGGGGGCCTTCCTTCGAGACGCCCAAAGGGAAAGCGGGATCCGTCGGCCATTTGCACCTTCCAGAGTGAACCTCCAGAACCAAGACGGCCGAAACCGTCGTAGCGCAGGAGAGTGTCGAGTAGGCGGCCCATCGCCACGTCGACGTTAGTGCGCGTTTTCCAGTTGCGGCTCATCATCCGGCGGACAACAACCTTGTTCTTCATGGCCTTTGTATCTTCGGGTCCGAAGAGCATCTCGCCCTTTTCTGCTGGGGGCCCCTCCAGTCCTGGAGTAGAGGTGCATTGATCGATTGTCACCGCCGCCTTCATAACCTCTTGGATGGCTCCGCCCGCTAGTGGGGTTCTCGACGAATCCTTAAACATCCCCTCGGCGTTTGACAACTCGCCGAGGTTCTCCAGCAGGCGCGCCAGTTCTTTCTCCTTTTTCTACCGCGAGCCCTGACCTGGCCCGCGATGTCCTCGAGAGCCTTCTCGCCTTCTTTCGCCGACTCCCCATCGGCTGTCGCCCTCTTGAGGAAGGTGCCATAGATCCCCGCCGGTCTTCGGAGGTTCGCTGTAGTTCATGCTGGGGGCGATGGCCGCCGCAGCGGGGGCCCAGCCAGGCAGGTCGCTGAATGGTGCCCAAATGAACTCTGACACCGGTTGAGTCGGAAAGGCCCTGGATCCCGGTGTCCGTGCGCACCCAGAAATACGCGTAAAGAGGCTGGCAGTCACCGCTCTCGTCTGCTGTCTTTCGGTAGTTCTGCTTCATCTCGCACTCGTGGGCATTGCGCGACTCGATCAGGCCCGGGGCGATGCCGAGTGGCTTTTTCTGCGTCAGCAACTTCAGCCAGACATGAAGTCCGCTGTCTCGGGCATTGATGCTGCGCGGCCATCGCTTCCGACCGGAGATCATTGAAGGTCACGTCGGGGTTCGGATCCTGAGCGCCCAGCTGAACAGCGATGCTGCGGCCTCTTCACCTCGGGATGTCCCACGAGGAGGAACCCGTAGCCCTTGCGAGGTGGGACCGCGGTCTTGTCGTTAGGAATGTCCACCAGATTGTCTGGGGAGATGCTTGCCGCGCACCTAGCAGCGAAGTCGATGTCCAGGTTCCGCTTGTGAGCAGCCCCCAAATCCCTCCGATCAATTGTCCTTCTGGGTGGCAACCATATTCGAATGCCCCACCCTGGAGTTTCAACGATGGACCAGGGCGTCATGTTGTCGCTCTCGTCGGGGAACAGGACGTAGACACCGACGGTCCCGACGTGCCTCGGCCTTGAGAAGAATGGCTTGTTCTCCTCGGCTGTCTCCTCAGTCAGCTGTCTCCTTGGCAGCCACCTGGGCCGCGTCGTCAGCGAGGTGCGCGTTGGCGCGAGGGCGCTGCGTTCCAGTCGCAGGTCTTCTGGTTTCTCTCGCCGTTGGAGCTTCGCGGTATCTCTGGGAGCAGGTCGGACTCTTATTTTCCTTCCCCTCCTATGTTGGCCAGAGCCTTGGCAATGAGCATCCTCTCCGCGCAGCCTTCGCAAGGCGTCTCGCACTGCAGCAGGGAGTCGCAGCCGCGGGCGTCGCCGCCCGACGCGTCGCCAGGTTGTCCACCGCGTGTCATTCCTCCTGCGTGAAATATACCCCCTGTTCGTCGTCGCCCTCGCCCGAGTCCTCGTCCTCCTCGGTCCGATCGGTCTGGCGCTTGTTCTCCTTGCTCTGGCTGCGCCTTCGATGATGATTCCATCTTGCCTGGGTCACCTCCTCAATCACTAGTCGAATCCGTTCAGCCCAGGGCGCGCGGCCAAGATGCTTCTCGGCAGGTTAATTATTGAACTCGTTTCGGCGCGTCCACTGCTTACCCCCTCCAGGTCCACCATCGTGATGAAGTGGCTCTTCTAGTCGTCCACGGCGCACCTCATCCTATGGAGTCGATCCCGCAGCTTCTTCTTCAAGTGGCGGTTACGAGAAGCCCGGGCGTTGAAATTGAAGGAGGACTGCGGGAGCTGGTTCATTGCGGCACGCTGGATGCAGTGCATCTCCGAACGCACCGCGAACTTGTAGAGGAAGGTCGGCAATCCCTCAGTGTCGCCTGCCAAGTCTGCGGTCTCTGGGTCGAACACCCTCGCGCCCCTGTGCTCCATGCCCTCCCATTGACCTCGTGCGTAGATGAGTCCGTTCTCCGCCTCGCCGCGCTGCTCGATCAGGGACATATTGGTCTGCGGCAGATTGAAGTGCCGCTGCGCCTTGACCCGTTGGATTTCAGCCCGAGGCTCCTCTACCGCCTCCAGCAGCTGGATGATCCTCTGCCGACGGCACAGTGAATCATCTTCAGCGCGGCGCACCCTGTTGAGCACCTGCCCCCCACGACGCCCCATCCAGCTCGAGGTTCTGAATCGCGCCCATGAGGAGTGCAATGCGCGCTT